CACCTTCTACCCCACCCCCAACCCCCCACCATATTTAAGGAAATCCTGTGTAGCACTTCGGCCGTGGAAAAATGATCCTTACCATGAACACCAGTTTATACCGGTCAGTCAAACCACATATTTCTACGCCACGAAAATCTCTTTTTTTTTGTATGTTTTTTTTTTTTTTTTTTTTTTTGATGTACACGTGTGTGGGTGAACAGGATCGTGGATCTTTTTTGTTGATGCTGAACAGAACTCGTGGTCTTTGTTCTTCGTGTTCTTGAAATTCTTGTACGCTGGGATAACGTATGTGGGGTTAGAGAATGAGGATAAGAAAAAAGGAGAAGAAGAAAATGGAAAAGAGTTCGTTTTTATTATTATTTTTCTCTCTCGCTCCCTCTTTCGTTCTCTTTATTTTCGTTACTCTTTCACGTCTCTCTCTTCTTTCTTTTCCACTTCTCTCCCCACTCCTCCTTCCCTTTTCTCTCTCTCTCTCTCTGTTTTTCTCTCCCCTTCTCCACCTCTCCTCCCGCCCCCTTCTCCCCTCCCTCTCCCTTTCCTTCCTCCACCTCTTCTCCTCCTTCTCTCCCTCTCCTTCCCTTTTCCTTTCCTTCCCTCCTTCTCTCTCTCTTTCCTTCCACACCTCTCTCCCTCCCTCCCCCTTCTCACCTCTCTCTCCCATTCCTTCCTCCACTCTCTCTCTTCTCACCTTCTCCCTTCTCCATCTTTCTCCACTCTTCCTCTCTCTCCCTCTCTCCATCTTCTCCACCTTCCCTCTCCTCTCCCTCTCTCTCTTCTCTCTTCCCTCTCCTCTCTCCTCTCTCCCTCTCCCTCTCCCTCTCCCTCCCTCTCTCCCTCTCTCTCTCTCGCCTCTCCTCTCCTCTTTCTCTCTCTCTCTCTCTCTCTCTCTCTCTCTCTCTCTCTCTCTCTCCTCTCTCTCTCTCTCTCTCTCTCTCTCTCTCTCTCTCTCTCTCTCTCCTCCTCTCTCCCTCTCTCTCTCCCTCTCCCTCTCCCTCTCCCCTCTCTCCCTCTCCCTCTCCTCTTCTCTCCCTCTCCTCTCCCTCTTCTCTCCCCTCCTTCTCCATCACACCCAGAAACCCCCAACCATTTGCAAAATTCACTCACGAAAGCGAACAGTAATTTACTTAACACTGTCGATCAATTTAGCGAATCGGCATCGAGACGAGAGAGAGAGAGAGAGAGAGAGAGAGAGAGAGAGAGAGAGAGACAGAGAGAGAGAGAGAGAGAGAGAGAGAGAGAGAGAGAGAGAGAGAGAGAGAGAGAGAGAGAGAGAGAGAGAGGATCAGCTGGTATATAGGAAACAGTTTCCTCGACGTTTCGTAAAACTTGGCTGGTTCTCTTAATGAATCCTTAATGGCAGGGACAGTTACGGGCCTAAATGTGATTTGTGTAGGCCTATGTATAGAGCGAGGTGATGCTTGATCTCTCTTATTTATTGTTTACGTTTTTTTAAACTGTTTTTGTTTTTCTTGTGTGTGGTGTTTTATCATTTTCTATTATTGAATAACCTCGTTTCCCTTCTTTACTTGGCGCACTTCTTCAAGTAAACACAAAAAACAAAACCAGTCCAAACAAACAGTTAAAAACTAACAATAACTAACAGAGATCGAGCATCACCTCGCTATATACATAGGCCTACACAAATCACATTAGGCCGTAACTGTCCTTTAAAATATAAAATTTATAAGACTAATGACTCGCCAAAACGAACATATGCTTTCGAGACTTTTGAATATGTGTGGCCATGCTTATCCGTTCTTTTTTCTAACTCAGGCTTTTCATATGTTAATGCTGTTTGTTTGGAACTTGTTTTGGTATATTACATTATATATAATTATATATATATATATATTATATATATATATATATATATATATATATATATAATATATATATACAATATATTATGCTGTTGTCTTGTTTCTTCTGCTTCTGCTTTCTGGCTCTCTCTCTCTCTTTCTCTTTCTCTTGTCTGTCTGTCTGTCTGTTCTGTTCTCTCTCTCTCTTTCCTCCCTCCCTCCTCTTTCTCCTTCCCTCCCTCCCCTTCCTTCCCTCCCTACCTCCTCCTCTCCTCCTCTCCTCTCTCTCTCTCTCTCTTCTCTTCTCTCTCTCTCTCTCTCTCTCTCTCTCTCTTCTCTCTCGTTCTCTCCTCCTCCAACTCTCTTCGTCCTCCTCTCTCATCCTCTCCACATCTGTCTCGTCTCTCTCAGTCTCTCTCTCTTATCATCTCCATTCTCTCGTCTCTCTGATCCTCCCTCGTTAGTCCATTCTCTCTATCTCCTCGTCCTCTCCTCTCTCCTCTCCCCCTCCCTCTCCTCCTCCTCTCTCCTCCCCTGCTCCCTCTCTTCCTCCCCTCTCTACCTTCCCCTCCCTCTCTTTCTCCTCTCTTTCCTCCTCTTCCTCTCGCCCCTCTCCGGCCCTCGTCTCCTTTTAACTAGGACATGAATATGATTTTGATTTAATTGATTCTTAGTTCACATACCACATATTTTCCTCATCACTTTATATTTCTATCGTTAATATTATATTACATTCCTTTCACACAGCTATTACACTCATTCAACTCCGACTAGTTTCCCCCTTCGCCTTTCAACTCTCATCTGCTCTTTCCTCTCCTCTCTTTTCTGCTGTTTCTCTCCTCCTACTACTCGCCTCACTGCTCCTCCGCGGCATTATCAATTGTGGTAATTTGTGCAGTATTGACAAATATGCATACGAGAAAAAGAAAGAAAGTCACACATGCACAATTCTATTATTATTGCTCTTCTTTCTCAACTTAATACTTTCGTGTCGGGTGGGTATATTGTCCTCTCTGTCTGTCTCTCTTGGTCTCTGTCCTGTGGTTTTACTCTATCGGTCTGTTACTTCTAACTTTTGCCCGTGTAATACTAGCTCCGGTAATTTGTTTCCTCGTCTGTTCTAGTGTGCTCTCTCTGTCTCTTCAGTCTTCTTGGAGGGTTCTTGTCTCCTGAGCTGGTCTCTCTTGCGGTCCTGTCTCTCTGGGCTGTTCTCTTCATCTCTTGCTAGTTTTCTCTTTCTTCTTCCATTGTCTCTTTTTCTTTCTTCATCCTTCTTCTGGTCTCACATCTCTT